AAACAATATACTTACACAGTAAAATAAAAATTTTTTAATCCATGACGTTGTAGAAAAACAATCAACGTTTCACCTCGATAGCTCGGTATTTATACGTCCAGCGCTTCAAAAGATCTAATTTATTTAATTATCATTCTAATAACGCATAGAACTCTTCATAGAAATGAAAAGTGATTACAGCCTGACGCAAAATGTCATTTAAAATCGATAGAACTATCGAAATACGACCAGCGTCTCACCTTTATACTCGAAAAGATACGTTATTCGAACAAAATAATTTTTTTTAATTTTAATTGTTGTAACTATCAGAACTCCTTGGAAAGGCATTGTGCATGTCCAGAACTATACGAAAACTGATTTGGAATAAACAGAACTCTTGAAAATAGGCCGGCGTCTCATCTGTATATCTATAGATATAAGGATTTGCTTGTTCTTATTTTATCTTTATTGATATTTTTTTGCTTTTAAAAGGCAGAACTCTTCTTAGAACTCTTGTAGAACTATAAATCTTTTAATTTCCAACAATTATTGACAAGGAAAATGTCGTAGGACAAAGTGAGACGCTGCGTGAAGTTGGCGTCTCAGTTTGTCCTGAGGCATTTTCGTTGATTTAATGGCCAGAACTATTTGTTTAAACTATCAGGAACTCTAGAACTATTAAAAATAAAGTCAAAACTCTTAATTATTTGTGAGTTTCCGCGAAATGATATGCCAGCTTCACACATACAAGCTGTTAGTAAGACCGGGGCGAAGTTTCCCGCATATCGAGCCATGCAAATCATTTTCTCAGTGCACGAAAAATTGCAATGTTAAAACTAGTCGCTTACTGAGCCGTGGAATAGATTTGAATAATAAATGCATCGTCACCTTGTTTACATTTTTACATGTAAAATATTTGCGTGACTTCCGTTACAAATGTAGAATCGATACATGTCGCGTCGAATGCGCGGATCGAATTCCGAGAGAGCAAACAGCATAATATATGAGTAACATCGGTAAATGTTGCATTATCCGCCGACTATTTTGACGATTGAGACAAATTGTTCGTTGGATGAAGTGTGTGCGAGCAATTTATCAATTAGATTTCATTTGATAACAAGTACACCGATGCGATACTACAATACGATCTTTAATGTCAGCTTACATTGACACTCTGTGTACGATACTCTACGCGTAATTATAATAGAATGAAATATAATTCTGACGAGGCTGTATTTTGCAAGGCGACAATAATCCGACGTGCAATTAGCAAATATGTCGACATATCGTTTGCATACACATACAGGTTGCAGCCGAGCAAGTATTATTCGCCTGGGAGGAATCATGATAAGCAGATCGATACATATCTCGGAAATTAATCGGGGGGCGGGAGGGGGAGGGGGGGACTCTTTGATCATTCGCCTATTCTGCTCTGACGCACACGCGATCATACAATTAATTATTGACCCGTTTTAATCCCGTTAGGTCTAATTAGAGAGGATGGTGTCTCGTCTCCAAGTTGTTAATTGAGTTGGTTAATGCGATAAAGGAGTTCACAACGTTCTCTTTCCCTGCCCTTCCCGCGCCACTCATTGTCTCTCTCTTCTCCTGCTTCTCTATTTCACTTTGTCTCTCTTCACTACAGATTTCTAAAAGGTGTGCCGATTCCTTCAGACAGTGATTATTTTCATTACTTCAATTATTTGACTTATTCCTATCAACGAGCTTTTCAGCACTCGATAAAGCTGATAAAGAATCGTACATGTGTCACATTTAAAATTTGTAGATCTTCAGATAAATGTTAGCATTGAAATTTTGAAACCAAAATGTTTTCCACGTAGAAATGGTAACAGATTGAGAGAAAAATTGATTTGTTTACTTTTATTTACCGATCTTTCACTCTTTTTGCAATAAAAGCTAACGAAATATTATAACAACGAGATCAGCTTCATCGCTCTCGCATCGGATTTTCCTATATTTTTTATCGTTATAATCAGGAACCTTTATTCGTTTATTCTTGCGCATAATTATTATTGAAGAGTCCGCGCTAACCACGAGATTATTGGTAAAAATATTTCTCTTTTACGCGCTGCAGAAATTGCCTCCGTCGAGAGATGAATCTCAATGCGTTCGATTGATTAAGTCATACTTTTTATCGGGATGAAAAAGCTCGACCAGCATAGTTTTACTTTTATTGCAGAGCGATTATCGATATTTAATAAAATATACTTCTCCAATTACGAAACTGCATTGTACACTGACTGATTCGCTGCGGACTTTGTGGAGAAGGTCGCTATTAAATATAATTTCATGTTTTATCACATTTACTGGATAAATTATCTATCAAAAGTAATTACACACTTTGTAGCATTTTTTTTTTTAATTCTATAATTGAAAAGCCTTATCAAATTTAATAATTTACCATTTCAAAGTAACTTATGAATAAAAATGTGAAAATCAATTATGCCAACTCGTGTCCATATGTATATAAATTATAAATACATGCTGTAAGTAGATCAATTAAATTTACTAATATTTCTTTTTGACTGCACTATTTCCAACACTTTGCAATATAGTATCATAACTTGCCCTCAAGAAGCACTTTTCGCTACCATACACGCGATATTCCTCCGTTGTAGTTCAATAAATCGAAACGCCGCACCTCACTGCGCCGCGTGCACAGACATTAAGTCGATACTAGCCAATAATAAATGTCCCTGCATGTGACAGCGTCAAGCTTTCTCGGTTTTTACGTTAAATTCGGAGCATCGATAATCGAACGACTCTTTGTCGAGATTGTGGCATTGTGCGTCTCAGTCTTCGCCGATGCAGAGAGAGAAAGAGAGAGAGAGAGAGTGAGTGTGTGTGTGTGTGTGTGTGTGTGCAGGTGTGTGCAAATACATGGAAAGTCGAACCACCCCCGTGAGACTCATTAATTATAATTAATATCTCTGTCGATAATAGCACCGGCGCTGCATATAACATCGCTACGGCGTGCATGTATCTCCGTGAAACGCCTTCGTTAAATGCATGAAAAGAAGCAACTTACTGTTCTCGTTGTCTTTTCGCGAGAGAAACCGTGATATTAGCGCATCTATGTAATCTTCACTGAGACTATCATAGATCTCAGCTGAGAGCACATTGTCTTTATTACATTGCTGTGTCGTAAGAATGTGTAGAAGCTCATTTAGAAGTTGGTGATTTCAAATCGTTAGCTTGATATTTAATTATTGCAAATGGATATTTATGTACATAGATAAATTGATAACAAGCAGATAAATAATTAATTAATAGTAAATATTTATGACTATTTATATGAAATTCTGATTGATGATTTTCGTTCAGAAATTGTATGTACGCGTAATTATTGAATTTCCTAGATATGAGCTGCAATATGCAAATACAAGCACAGGGACTTTCTAATACTATAAAGTGCCTGATAATTTTATAAGTGCTTTAAAGTAATTTTGCATTTGTTCAGAATAGATTGTCACCGTCTAACGATTTCGAGGGTCGTTTAATATTAAGAGTTAATTCGCCAGCCTGACAGGTGCAAGAATTGATGCCTGAGGGGTACGAGAACATCCCGACGTAGATTGAGTATCGATCATTATACGCGTCGTGGTTATAAATCGTCGTTACGAATCAATTGGCCGTCGAGCGTGACTATTCGCGGATGCAATTAACCGTCGGCGGAAAGCGATTTCACTCGGTCAATTCGCCGATAAAAGCCGAAAAGACATCTAGGGCGTTCTTAGCACTGGCGGACACATTTGGCGTCACTTGCCAGAGAATTCCTTATCCTTATATATCCTGCGACGGTCGATTAAGCCGAAGCGAAATTTTCACAAATTAAGTATTTAAAGTTTCACGTCCATCACGATGATTCAACTATTTCTGCGTCTTTCACACATGCGCCTGTGTAATTAAGAACTACTGTAAAATGTCTATAATCTGCGATACATAACTGTATTCTATCTCTCACAGAGTTCGCATTTTTCGAATTGTTCTGCTATACGCGATTGCGAAAAAAAGAAAAAAAAAAGGACGATTTATGTGCTCTTTAACGTACAAATCGGTGCAACGAGATGAGGGGCAGCTTCGACGTGGATTAAACGACGCTGATTATATGCATCTCGGTTGTAAATCGTTACAAATTAATCGGCCGTCAAGCTCCCTCTGCGCGTCCATCGGTAGATGGGATTAAGCGCTTCGGAAGAGGTATCGATTCGCCGAGCATCGATCAGAATCCTCATACACCTCTTAACCTTTAACCGATGCTGAATCGTTTAGTCTGAAAAGAATTATTTCTCTTTTTGCCGAGATGGATATCGAAGTGCATACGGTTTGCTAGATTTCAGTATACGTGAGAAACGTTCTGCTCTGCGGAGGGAAGGAGAGGGGATTCGTTACCGTCGAACCTTTTGACCTCGCGCTGATAGAGGATCGATGTATCTCTCCTGGTTTTCGATCTTCGCTCGTATGAATTTACGATTAGAAAAATCACGCGCTCCCTGATGAATCGATAACCTTGATCGATCGAACGTTAGAGCGCATACTTTTCATAATTGCCGCGCGTAAGAAATAACTGTACTAACGGCTGTCCGGGATGGGCTGATAATTAATAGCAGCGATTAACTTGACACTCGTATCTTATATCAAACCGTGTTGAATCAGCGCTGCATGTTTGACCACTCGATTGAATGAATAATACCGAGCGGTATCGTACGACTTTTTTTTAAATAGTCTGAAATCGAACATGTTAAAAGCTATTTGAAAAAAAAAAATTTACGCTGGCTTTGCAACTTTCGATAAATTATATATAAGCAGCGTAATTTATTATAAATAGCACAGCGTCATACGATTTCAAATATCAAAATTAATATTTAAATGAAATAATGTTAGAATATTTTATTATATTTTGAATTTATCACATTGTCTTACGATTAAGACTTTTAGTACTTTGTCAATCAATAATGTGAAAACAAAGACTCAAAGGAAAAAATATTAATTTTGTACAGGCAAATCCATGTCAGCATCCGATTGTAATCCTAAAGGATGTGGCATCGTCGGACATGGAGTCCTTGTTGCGCTTCATGTATCACGGGGAGGTAAACGTGGGTCAGGAGCAGCTGCCTGCGTTCTTGAAGACGGCGCAGATGCTTAAAGTAAAAGGACTAGCGGACGTCAACAAAGGTTCCTCCAGCGCGAAAATTCCACCTTCCTCGTCGTCGATCAGTAACAACGCTAGCGCGCCCGTAAGTTGTCTCCACGGCAGTTTAATATGGAAGTTGGAAAATTAATTATACGAATTATACGGCTGGTTTCGAACTTTTAATTAATTTAGCCTTAATTAAAACGAATTTTAATTAATGTGCTTTTAACACTACGCCGTCGCCGCTACCGTGACAGGCGGAATCCCGGCTAGGATTTCCCGCTTCATCCTTTAGCTTTTAATTTCGCGACTCATAATAGACGTTAGACAAATATTACGCAGAAGTTTTAATAATGGATGAGTAACCGGAGTTTTGCTGATTATTCATATAATGAGATTATTGAATTATTAAATATTCGTTAAAATTGGATTATGAAGAACGATTGCGTTATTCCTTTTTTTATTGAACGCTGAACTATTGTTCGGCTTGTCTTTAATTTGGCCAGGCAACACCGCGTAATCCTTGGCAGGATAACAGTAGAGATCTCAATGAAAGCGATAATAGCCCGCCTCCAAAACGAGCGAGAAGTTGCAGCCCGCAGAATCATATGGAAGAAAAGTCGGATCTTCAGGACTCATTGTTAGGTCAGGCACTTGAAGGCGGACCTACGATACACATGACACCCACAAACAACGTACAGGTAAGCGAGCAGGGAGCCTATTGTGTGGGAACAAATTTTCGAAGATTATAAATTCAAATTTCGTAAAGTGTACGCTGTACGTTTACTCTCTGACTATACATTTCACAAATGTATGGGCATATTTTATTTATTTTCAGGCACAGTCGACTTTCGAGGATTCGAACTCTATGTCGGAAAATGACGATGACATGTCGAATAACGACAGCATCCTGAACGCGGTGAAGACCGAGCCGAGCGACATTTTAAATGACCCTGTAGATTCTGTTCATCGTAACAACAGTAACCATCACGTTATACCCGCGGCATTGTTGGGCCTTCAAGGTGATTATAAGATATTTACTACAAGTTTTTGCGTCGTATAAAAATTTCATAATGTAATTTAACGTTTGACGAAGTTTTTTGACACTGTTTAATTAATCTGACACTAAATATCGAGAGGCATAAGCAGAATAATTGTTCGAAATGTACAATTTATATTGATATTTTCGTGTGCAAGCGACTGCTAGTTCGTTATTTAGAAAAGGCAGAGTTGAATTTATGATGGATCAAAGAAATTCCAATTTTGCCGAGAGGATGCAAATTAATTTTTAATTAATGACACATTTAATTACTAATTACATTTGTAATTAATAATTAATTTCTCGTCAGTTACTAATTACTTTCGTAATTAGCAATTAACCAGACTTAATTACTAATTACGGCTTCAATTAAAATTAATTAATGAATAATTACAATTATTTCCATTTGTGTACATAATTTCATTGTATTCCTTGACTTGCGAAAATGTGTTAGTATGCATCTATTATTAAATATGACGAACTAACATATTATTAACATAATTTAATTTTGTTTACCTGTGCCATAGTCAATTGAGCGATATAGATCTCATGATTTATATTTTTACTGTTAAAATAGTCGACTTGGTTCGCGATGTATTATATAAATTATTGAATAACGATAAATTAATTATATTTTAATATGTATATGGCACACAAAATCGCTCTCATAACTCGACAAATATTACACTTTTCAAGTTTTTCGCGTTCAAATATGATATACGTTTCAAAAATATATAAATTTTTAAATATCGAGATCTAACGGGTTGTTTCATTTACAAATTACAGGAATAAACTTGCCAGGACCGTCCGGTATACACACGCCTGTACATCAGGATCCAAGTTACGGTAAGTGTGCTACATCATCGATTCAATTTCACCCCTTTAAACGTTCTCGAAGCCCAAACTAGTCTCCTTCCGTCGTTTCCTAAGAATCTGATCTCTTGTTGCGTTGAATGCATGAGAACTCTCGTACCTCTCACAACCCTGCATTCCCTGCCATCTACCCCTTTTATCACACCGTGAGCAGCAGCGTATTTACGGGAGTCGCATCTCGACGGCTCTCTTCGATGGCTTTCGTCATTGCGTGCCTTACTTGCCAAAGGCGCGAACCTTTTTCACAATCACGCACAGTCACTGTTCGATTTGAAAACGAGTTTCACGTCGTATTCTTCATCTTTATCTTCATATTCACTTCTGCGACATGAGACTCATTTTCGCATCGTTATTGCCGAGGGAAATTTTGCGAGTGTGAAATCGGTTCGCGTCGTTATTTGCCACATTCACAAAGTCTTCAGGATCATCTAATCAAATTGTAAAACTAAAAAACTCTTAATAATTTGCATCTATCGATGTAACTATCTCAATCGGTTAGAGAAATTCGACAGCTCGAGTAAGAGTCGGAAACAAAAACTGCGGTATAAGAAGGTGATGACGAAGAAGAGGTGAATAGAATAGGGCGCACAAGAGCGCCAGGACCAATTGTCATGTTAACTCGCACAAAGGATCGAATTCGATCCTAGTTTTAGAGAGAAGCTCGTTGGGGGAGGGACCGAGTGAAAATTGTTGAGTTATCTTTGAAACCTGGAAAATCACTTTCAGAAAAAAAAAGAAGGTCGAAAATGAGAGCATAAGAAAGGGCTGGCGAGAGGCAAAAAAAAAAGAATAGTGTTTAAGGGATCGTACGAGGTTGGCTGAGGACTGACATTGGCTGGTGGTTCCAGGGCGGTGGCAGCCCTCTGGAGGAGACGGTTCAAGCTCGAGTTCCGGTTGGCTGCCCGGCGCGTCCTCCACGAGGAACGAGCACGCCGGGTCCGAAAGCTACCAGAGCGGCGGCGTGGGTCACAACAACTCGAAGGGGCAGGATCTCTCGGTCCTGCTTCAGCATCATCATCATCAGCATCATCACCACCATGCCACCAGCCAACAGTCGTCGCAGCAACACACCCTCAATGCCCTCAACTCCCTCAACAGCCTGAACACTGAGCAGCTGACGATGATGCATCAGAAGCTGCAGAACAATCTCCATGGCCTCCAGCAGAGCACGAAGAACGATCAGCTGAATCTGATGCTACAGTCCTGCGCGAAAGACAAGATCGAAAGTATAGCGATGCTTCACCAGCAAACCCAGAGGCGGTTCCATCAGCAAATCGATAACGCAAATCACAGCGGTAAACCCAAGTGTCCCGAATGCGGCAAGATATACTCGAACAATTCCAACCTGAAGCAGCACATCGTCAACGTTCACACCGTGCAGACCGAGTACATCTCGTGTCACGTGTGCAACAAACAATTCAAAACCAAGCAGTACCTGCAGATCCACCTGCTTTCCATGCACGGCATCAGAAAACGAAAAAGCTACACCCTGTATCAGATGGCTCACGTGCAGACGCAACCGCAAGCATTGCAGTCTGCTTCTCAGGTTTCTGCGGCCCAGCAACAGTCTCAACAGTATTCCGTGGCGGACAGGTGGTCCGCCGAAGATAAACAGTGATCCGTAAATCAAACGAAGTAAAAAGCCTCGTGGTTATAACTAACGTGGTTGTAACATGTATACGAAGAATGTGGAGAACACTTTTTTGGGCGACGTGCAACAAAATCATTTGCTAATGCCTCCGGATGACGTGATAAAAAAAAAAAGACACTGATAGAGGCAACGCTTTTGAGCTAATTTCTATTTCTCGGAACATACGAATGCACTGTGCGTGTATTTTCGCGCATCAAAGATGAGAACATGTGCTTGCGTCTCTTAGCGGAAGTGAGTTGACACTTACGGTAATTGCAGGTGCCGATGTGTGAGTGTATATATATGTATAGAATTTCTTTCTACGATGCGCTGGAGAGAGGTGCGTAGGCTATAACGTAACATAGGCTATAATGTTAGCTATTTTGACAATGGTATCTAAATGAATGTACATGCAATATTATACAAGATAGGAAATACGTTAAGTATTATTTTATGTTTTAGTTTCAAGATGATCTCATAGCTCATTTACTCTCTTCGACTGGCGAAGTCGAATTTTGTCAAAGAGCTTATACGAAGGCTGGCTCTGATTGTTTTAATTTTTACTTAAATTCTTTTTACAATATTTTCTTATAAAAATGAAAAAAATTTCTTAAAAAATTTATATTTAACAAAGACTGCAAAATGACTGAATATCTAAAGTTGCAAACTACTTTTTTGTTTGCTTCTTGCAAACTAGTTTAGTTATACAAAAAGAATTTAATAAATTAAAATTTTGTTGTTACGGTTATTAAATTAATGAATCATTGAAATTTAGTACTTATTTGTGAATTTTTAATTTATTAAAAATATGTACTAAATTTCTTCATATTTAATAGTATTAATATCTTCAAAATTAGACAACCAAATACGCGTAATCGGGAAAATTACAAAATTGTTGCAAATTCATATTTACATGTTTATTGTATCAAAAGCATTAATTATTAGCGTAACACCTCGAATAATTCGATTACACATTCCACCTCTCTCTCAGCGCATCAATTGCGGTTAAATTTGACCCTGAATATGCGTCGAAAAGGCCGCGCCTAAACGATCGAAGCTCACTCGCAGATATTCGTTTTTTATTAGAGCTCGGATAAGGGTGCGGAGGTGTCGATAGGTAAGGTGGAAGCGAAAGAGGGTGCTGGTACGAGAATTGGTCGACCTATTTTCGTCCCATACCGCAGTGCGCAGTTCGCCCTTCGCGGCGACGATAAGCAGGCCTCCTCGATTGGTCGGGAGAGGAAATACGGGAAAGAGCGTGAGAGAAACAGAGCTGGAAAAAGCTCCGCGAGGACTTTCGCGTAAAATTCTTTGCGATATAACTAGCGCGATAAGTAAAGTAGCATGACCGGCTTTCCGTTTCTTGAAAGGCGGACTGGCGTCGTGAAGCCATCCTGTCACGGTGTATTCATTCTTTACAGAATCGGTCTTCATGGGAGAGTTAGGCGGAATGAGGGATTACGTAGAAATAGGTGCCAGAGATACGAACTCCCACACCTTGAGGATCTATGCTCGTGATTAATTTCGTCTTCCTCGCATCGCTTCTTTCCTAAGAGCTTCCGAACTTTTATATATCAAATATATATTGATAAGAGTTGGCGGGAATTGAGATGAAAATTTCTATAAAAATGTCAATCAAACACACACGTAACAGAAACG